CTTTTGATTGGTGCATTAAGTACATTTACATTTAGAGTGACTATTGAAAGATATGTAGTTACTGCCATTGCAGGCTTTAAATTCATGGTTACCAAATGTTCAAAGTTAGCCTGTTTAGTATCTTACTGTCTAACTTGGCTCGCTTATTGAGCTGTTATATACACTGTCTGGAGATTCTTTTTTTCTCTCCCTTCTTATTCCTCCTCCTCCATTCTTCATATGTTGGGTGTTTTGTTCTGTGATCTTTTTAAGAGTGCTCCCATCTAGAGCAGTCCCTGTAAGATGCCCTGTAGAGGTGGTTTGTGGGAGGCAAATTCCCTCAACTTTTGCTTGTCTGGGAATTGTTTAATACCTCCACCATATTTAAATGATAATCCAGCTGGATACAGTATCCTTGGTTCAAGGCCCTTCTGTTTCATTGCATTAAATATATCATGCCATTCTCTTCTGGCCTGTAAGGTTTCTGTTGAGAAGTCTGATGATAGCCTGATGGGTTTTCCTTTATAGGTGACCTTTTTCTCTCTAGCTGCCTTTAAAACTCTTTCCTTGTCCTTGATCTTTGCCATTTTAATTATTATATGTTTGGTCTTGTCCTCCTTGGGTACTTTCTGTTGGGAGTTCTGTGTATTTCCGTGGTTTGTTCGATTATTTCCTCTCCCAGTTTGGGGAAGTTTTCAGCAATTATTTATTCAAAGACACTTTCTATCCCTTTTTCTCTCTCTTCTTCTTCTGGTACCCCTATAATACAGATATTGTTCCTTTTGGATTGGTCACATGGTTCTCTTAATATTGGTTCATTCCTGGAAATCCTTTTACCTCTCTCTATGTCAGCTCCTATGCGTTCCTGTTCTCTGGTTTCTATTCCATCAATGGCCTCTTGCATTTTCTCCATTCTGCTTATAAATCCTTCCAGAGTTTGTTTCACTTCTGTAATCTCCTTCCTGGCATCTATGATCTCCCTCCGGACTTCATCCCTTAGCTCTTGCATATTTCTCTGCATCTCCATCAGCATGTTTATGATTTTTATTTTGAATTCTTTTTCAGGAAGACTGGTTGGGTCTGTCTCCTTCTCTGGTGTTGTCTCTGTGATCTTGGTTTGCCTGTCATTTTGCCTTTTCATGGTGATAGAAATAGTTTGCAGAGCTGGGACGAGTGAGGGCTGGAAGAACTTCCCTTCTTGTTGGTTTGTGGCCTTCCTCTCTTGGGAAAACAGCGACGTCTAGTGGCTTGTGCTGGGCAGCTGCACGCTAACAGGGCTTCAGCTTCCTCCCCAGCTTCTATGGAGTTTATCTCCACTGTTGCTGTGGGCATGGCCTGGCTCAGGCTGCTGCTCCAAAATGGTGGAGCCACATTGGAGGGGGAGCAACTGGGAGGCTATTTATCCCCGTGAGGGGCCTCCATGCTTCCTCCTGCCCAGGGGGTTAGAGTGCCCCAAGATCCCCAGATTCCCTGCCTCTGGACTAAGTGTCCTGGGATGCTTCTGAATGGTTTTGGGGTGCCTGTCCCTTTAAGACTTCCAAAAAGCACTGACCAAAAAATAAAAATAAAGCCGCTCCCTTTTTTTTGTCCTCAGGCACCGGCCCCAGGGACCCACTCCCGGGTCTTGCTGCCCTGTTTCCCTAGTATCCAGGACCCACGCATGCACTGTGCCTGCGCTCTGGTCTGTATGGTGGGGCTGGGTGTTCAGCAGTACTGGGCTCCCTTTCCCTCCCTGCTCCAACTCTTCTCCTCCTGCCAGGAGCTGGGGGGAGGGGCACTCAGGTCCTGCCTGGTCGGGGCTTGTATCTTACCCTCTTCACGAGGTGCTGGGTAATCACAGGTGTGGATGTGGTCTGGATGTTGTCCTGTGTCCTCTGGTCTCTATTCTAGGAAGAATTGTCTTTGTTATATTTTCATAAATATATGTGGTTTTGGGAGGAGATTTCTGCTGCTCTACTCATGCTGCCATCTTGGCTCCTCCCCCCTCAATACAAATTTTGAGAATTACTGGACAGACATCTCTGGAAAATAATGACTCACAGTAACTCTTATGAACCAAAATAAATATTGGGTGTTCTTCTCCGAAAAGATGCATATATGTGAGTCATTTGCATACTGTTTTAGGGCATTCTAGGGCCTACAGAAGCCAATTGATAAGACTCTATGAACTCTTAAGAAATTAGACCTAAGTCAGAGCTGCTACATGAAAAATATATCTAGAATGCCATCGCACAACACTGCAATTATAATTGGATCCATATTCCCGGAAACATAAAAGCAGGTGTTGACAGTTTATTTTCAAAACTGAGGAGCATAAATAGGATTTCTGAATAGGAAAATTTTCTCAGTATATCTATGATGTTAGGTTGGGGAAATTTACAAAAAGTTTAAACCTATGGATGAACCACAAATTTCAAAGTTTCACCAGGGTGACTCCAGTAATCAATCAGGCACCAGAGCCATTATGAAATTACATCTTAATTTAAAAAGAATAGTGTAAAAACTAATCACCCTATATGACCATCATTATGGCTCCGTAGACTTACAAGTCAGAGAGGGACTCCCCTATTCTCATCATAGAGTACATTATATTGATCCCCAAGTAAGTAAAGACTACAAGGTATTATTTGGATTTATGGGATACTACACAATTTATTCACACAGGTTCTCTGCTACAGAAAATAATTTTAAATTTCAATATTAAAAATTTAATTGAAACCATTTGTATTAAAGATCTTGATTTTTAGGAGACATCGCTAACATCATCAAGAACACATGAAGAAAAATCAGACTACAAAGTAATAGATTTATCCTCTCAGGAGAGACACTGTGTTATCGGAGACACTTAGCAATTACAAATGAACAGAGCGCTACATGGCAAATTTATGAAAGAGACTGCCCTTCACCATTTGCTGCATGGCATGGATCACATCTTTGTTCCCAAGGCTGTAGATTAATGGGTTCAGCATTGGACACAAAAGACCATAAAAGACAGCGATTATTTTGGACTCTTCTACAGACTTCTTAGATGGGGGTCTTAAGTACATGCAGAAGGGGGTCCCATAAAACATGGTGACAGTTGCCAAGTGGGAACCACAGGTAGAAAAGGCTTTGTGTCTGCCTTCAGCATAATGGATCTTCACGATGGCCAAAAGGATGAGAACGTAGGATAGGAGGATGATGAAGAGAGAGCTCCAAAGAGTAAAGCCAGCCACTGCAAACATGGCCATCTTTTTGACATGGGCGTCGGAGCAGGCCAGCATCATCAGGGGAGGGTCAGCACAGTAGAAATGATTGATTTCCAGGGAGCCACAGAAGGACACGTGGAAGGTCAGCAGCGCCTGGGACAGTCCATTCAGGAAGCCACAAGCGTAAGGGTCCGTCACTAGACAGATGCAGAGTTTCCTGGACATTCCGGTCCTGTAATGTAATGGGCTGAAAATGGCTGCATAGCGATCCACTGCCATGGAAGCAAGCATGTAAAGCTCGGTGATGACCAGGGTGATGAAGAGAAGACACTGTGAGAAGCACCCGGCATAGGAGATGGTCTTCTGGTCTGAGAGGAGGTTGGACAGCATGTTTGGAGTGATATTGGAGGAGTAGCAGATGTCTACGAAGGACAGGTGGCTCAGGAAGAAATACATGGGGCTCTGGAGGTGGGACGTGGTCCTGACCAGCGCGATCATGCCCAGGTTCCCTGCCAGCGTGATTAGGTAGATCAGCAGAAACACCCCAAACAGGATCTTCTCCAGCACTGGGTCATCTGTGAGTCCCAAGAGAATGAATTCCATCACTATGGTGTGGTTTTCAGAAGACTTTACTTATCCCTTGGAAACTGAATGTGACAAAGAGATGGAGGAACTCTGTATGATCCAGATTCCATATTTTTTCCATCCACTTCATCATTTACTCTTTGATCTTCTTATCTGTGGGGAAATTACTCTCCCTGTTCTAACAGAACAGAAAGTCAATGCACATATTTCACCCTAACCTCTGTATTTTCCCTCTGTTTTTCTAAATCTCAAATATAGATGCAGATACATTTGCACGCACTCACTTTTTTTTCCACTTGCAAATATATTCATATTTATATTAATTAATATAATAATGTAATATTATATATGTGAATATAAGTACACATGTATATATTCATACAGTTATGCCTGTCTCTCTGTGAAAATTCATATTTGATATTTCTTTCAAACTTTTAAGTAAGGAAAAGCCAAAGAAATGAAAAATAGATATGAACAACAGCAGGTCATTGGCATCATTCAAATGGACAAAAGGAAATTCAAGTTCTAGGGCCTCCCGGGTGTGATATCTTATTGTTTCAGATAGAAAATAGAGAATAAATGTTCTTAATAAATGAAAACACTGAATGCAGGGTGTCCACCTGCAACCCAAACCTAGCCAGTTTAATTTCATTAAGAATTATTGAATTAGTGAAATTCATGTCTTGATACATGCCTAGGAAAGTACAAAATAAAAAATTGTTCTCTCTGCCTTGTCATTTATGCAGTCATTTATTCATTTATTATTTACACTGTAAAGATGTAGGTTTTTTTTTACTGTTCTAAGTTCTATGGTTATGGCAGTGAACCAATTCCCCAACCAGAGAGACGTTATATTATACCAGAAGGAGCAGACATTATATACACAGATAAAATACAAGTACAAAGAAGAAAAATTAAGGTGACATGCTTTTAGATGCAGTTTTCTCCACATGGTGGAGTCCCAATCTCCACCAAACAAATGATATTTTTAATGAACAAATGGTGTGTAAAATCACCTACCTACCTTTAATAACGGACTTGGCACATTATGGAAAAACAAGGTGGGGAGATTTATAATGTATTTCTTAAGTGTATTCCATAGAATATTTTTAAAATGAGTCTGCAAAGCCAATTAAAGCAGTCTTTCTTCCTCAAGTCGTAGTCCTGATTTGATGCTGGAGAATGAGATTCTCCTCTGAGGCCAGTGTCCCTGCCCACGTCTGTATACACTGTTTGGTGCTATACATGAGCCGTTTAGCATAAATAGAGAAATGAGCCATCACTTTTCATACTAAGGAGGAAAACATGGGGGCACTTAAGTTGTGCTTTTTTAATATCATAAAGAAAAGGGAATCCCAATTAGAAGACCTCAGTTTTCCTCTCTACGCACTGAGGTGAACGCATCTAGCAAGAGTGAGGAGCAGGAAGGTCCTGTAAATGAGAGATTTGAGGAGTAGAAATAACAGGCACGCCACAGCCTAGGAAAACTATTCATGCCCAGCAATAATGACAAAGCACCTGTCTGGAACACGGAGATGTTCTCCACAGTTCACTGCCCCGTCAACAACAGGCCAATGTAAGGAAGAAGTCTAAGATGTGAACAGACACTTCATAAACCATATACGAATGGCCAATGAGCACACGAAAAGAACGTCACCGTCCATAATTGTCAGGGAAATGCAGATTATATCCACAGCAGGATACCACTCCACAAGCACATCAGTGTCAAGATTTTTTAATGACAATGTGAGGTAACTGAAACTCTCGCAATACATCACTTGATGGAATATAAAATAACTGCTTAGGAAAACTGGCTGTTCCTTATAAAATATCTCATTAGAGTTTCTTACCTAAAACATATTATTTATAGAAGAGAAAAGAAGACTCATATCCACAAAGAAACTCATGTGAATATTAACAGGTATATAGATAATCAAACTGGGATATATCCAATTAAGAGACTACTACACAGAAATAAAAATGAAAACCTAATAATGCAACTTAAATGAATCTCAAAAACATCATATAGAGAGGGAGAACAACTTCTGAATAGGGGGGAAATGACCTCCCAAACTTGATCCCCCATAAAAGCAATGAGAACACTGACACATTGTCAAAATCGCCTTTTTCAGAAATTTAAATAAACTTAGAGCAGCTTATTCAAGTCAACACAGCAGCGTCTTGCTAAGTAGAGTGAGTTTTGTGGCAATTTTATATGTCCTTCCCCCATCCTCTCTCCGCACCTGCACAGGAGCCTTGAGAACTGGAATATGAGATTATGGCTGTACACCTTTGTCAAGCTGCACTGACATATTGAGATTTTATGGTGAAGTTTACCTCCGAAAATTTAACTTAGAGTTCATTTCTGCATTCCTCAGGGTCAAGCAGATCAATTTACTCCCTAGTTTTTCAATCCTGAAAGACTAGTAAAAGTAGCAACAGAGGCTCATGTTATCAAGTTTCTCTCCATACAAAAGCAGGTCGAAAGCTAAGCAGTGAATGCTGAGGCTGTCTTCAAATCTTCTTCACCTTGAAAATTCAGAGTCATATCATGGATGAAATCCAGAAAGCTATCTAATGCATCTCTTTTCTCTTCTTTGCTACCAGTTTCTTGGAAGCCTGGGTTAGATAATGAGGAGTCAGAGACGCAGGGGAGAAGTCATTAGGTGAAGAGCTCTAAGTGGTCAAGGAGTGGTCAAGAGAAATGCAGATCTTCAGGAGCCTGCTCCTGACTGAGTGTGACGTGCCCGATGCCATGGCAACGGTGGGTCCTTGGCAATTGCATCCCCTGCGTTATAGCCACAGACTGTGCAGCCCCTCTGCCTCTGCCTGGTCACTCCTGCTCCCCTGGGGCTCTGGGGGGTGGGGCATGATGCAGGTAATACTGGCCTCTTGCTTGTCCTTTTGTGGAACCTTCACCACCAACCAATTCTCCTGTGCTGACCCAGCCCTCCTGGTGTTGACATGTTCCTACATAGAAAGCAAACTGCCCTGGCCGTGTCCACAGGGATCAGCCTCACAGGTTCCCTACTCATCATCCCTGTCTCCTACGTCTTCATTTTCATCACCATTACAATGATACATTCCAGGGAAGGAAGGCACAAAGCTTTCTCCACCTGTGGCTCCCACCTGACACTTGGCCCTAGGTTTTCTGGGTCCCCATTCTGCATGTGTCTGAGACCAGCAAACAAGCAGTCTGTTCAGCAAGGGAAAAATGGGGAAGTGTTTTGTATTTTTGTGAGTACTATGCTGAATTCATTTATCTATAGCCCACTGGACAAAGATGTAAAACAGAAAGAGAAAACTTGCTACAATGGAGAAAAGTTCCATTTCAACAGTCTCCCATGAGATTCACCTGCCAGGAAAAAATGAGTCTCAACAACAATAAAAAGAAAAAAAGAAAAAATGTCCCCCTTTTTGTTTGTCCATGAATGCAGTTCTCTAGAACAATAATACTATTTTTTGTGCATGCATAGCTTGGGATCAAGTGAGAGACTAATGGAAACACAGACTGGGAAAGTGGTTTAGAAATTGTTCAGAAAAACAACAGCAGAAAACAGCTGTTTATGATCAAGCAGGGTCATGGTTTCAGCCTCACTCAAGAACTTATTTACACATAGTTAGCTAGCAGATAAATTCTTCCTTTCACTTTGTTGGCCACCAGTATTGAGAACCACTGAGCTATCCTATCAGCAAAATTAAGTATTTTATGATGAAAAATACTTTCATACAATATTTACATAATTTCCTTTAATGACAGTTAATTATCTTCTCAAAAAACCTCAAATCTCTAATTTTGATATGTTTTCTCAATGGATATTTGGTCTGCTTCTTAGTATACTTCTCTGGAATATGGAACTGGTGTATCACATTATTTCAAAGAACTTAATATTTTATGTATTTTAATGACTTCATGACTAGTTTCATTAGGCTTCCTTAATCAAAACGGATACCCTTCTTAACAGGGTATGCCCATTTTGATTTAGAATTTTCCTTTCCTACAGAAGAGTGTTATATGATTTTCTCCCTACAACATTATTAACAACTATCATTATTGAGTTTTACATATTATTTTTCAATTCTTGTCTACATACAAACCATTTAAATAACAGCTGCTCAAGTATGCAAGCATATTTGGTTTTAGCATTTTAAAACTAAAGAGTAGCATAAACATATTAAAGATTGATTGATTGACTTTATAATTGACTCCTAAATAAGTACATAATATAACAACGTTATTGTGACATATTTCAATACATCACTTCCTTTTACTATTTAGGCAGTTTTTATTTTTCCCATCTTAGGCAGGACTGAGAAAGACAAATATTTTCCAATCTCACTTGTATGTGGGATCTAAGAAAGCTCATCTCATAGAAACAGGGAATAGGATGGTGATTGCCAGGGGCTGGGCCTGGAGCTAGTAGGGACGAGTTTATCAGGGATACAAATTTCAGCTTGTAAGATGAATATGCTCTGTGGTCCTAATGTACAAAATGGTGACTACAGTTAGCAATACTTTCTTGTATAAGTGAAATTGCTAAGAAAGTAGATTATAAATGTTTTCACCAACAACAGAACAACTAAATAATTTTAATCATGTGAGATGATAGATGTAACCTCATTGTGATGATTATATCACAATATGCAGCTGGAAAAGTACTAGCAAACAAATTTTCAAAATCTTTGTGTTCTTTGACAACAAAACTAAATTACTAATGTTATTGAATGAAATATCTTTTAAAATCCCAAATATATGTGATTAGGAACTCTCTATGAAATAGCCCATAGATTAAAGAAATCACTAGAAAAATAAGAAAATATTGCAAAATGAATGATAAAAAATAGTAAATTTGGGGCTTTCCACTAAAATGGTGTTTAGGTGAAATGTAAAAACATTTATATGTGAACACAGGCCAGAGTCAAACCAATGATTCAAACTTTCATTTAAAAAGCTAGGAAAGAAGATAAAAAATAATTCCAAGCAAGTTCAGAAGTTTTCAAGCCCAAGTAATAGGAAAACATTCATTGTTTTGCTGGACCTGGGTATGAAGATCCAGGCTGGAAGGCCTCAGGCAGGGAGTGGGTCCCTGTAGCCTAGAGGCCACAAACTGGAACCAGAAACTCACATTAAGGGAGAGATGGTCATTCTATTCCTCTCTCTTCCCATTCCCATAGCAACTGTTACCCAAGCACATTCAGAGAAACAGGCACCACCACTATGGCCCATTGTTTCTATTTTCACTTGGTAATTCACGGGAGGCATGCATAAGGATGTGTTTCTTAAAGACTTCCAGGTCCAAATATTATGATAATAAGGACACAATCAAGTCAAAGAGCTGAGCTAAGAGTATCATTAATCTGTTTGGTGTTGTAAACAATAAAACACGTTACTGCTCTGTGACATAGCAAGTGGAAATTTTCCCTTAGCACAGTGTTCTTCAAAACTTCATGTATTTACGAAGTACCTATGATTTGGTTAAAACAAAGATTTGGATGTAGTAGATCTGAGTTGCAGAACGTGTGGCTACATTTCTAACAACTTCCAACCTAATGCTGTGACAACAGACCCATGGACCGCATGTTCAGGAGCAAAAGTCTAGGTAAACAGCGAAGCTCAATTTTCCCAGACGTGACCTTTAGCAGAGATACATGAGACATTTCCATAGAGAACACCAAACTCATCAAAATGCAAAGATACTTCAGCCAGGGGCTCAAAGCTACGGCTTGGTGGTAATTGGTGGCATGGCCATCAGAGTTACCGTATTTCTTCGGAGGACATCCTTCAAGGCCCGCTTGACATCTTTGTTCCGCAGACTGTAGATCCATGGATTAAGCAGTGGACTTACAAACGTGTAGAAGACAGCTATTATTTTGGACTCCTTGACAGTCTTATCTGTCGGTGGTCTTACGTACATGCAGAAGAGAGTCCCATAAAATAGGGTCACAGCCGTCATGTGGGAACCACAGGTGGAGAATGCCCTGCGCCTTCCCTCTGCTGATTTGATCTGGAGGATGGTAGCGGTAACAAAGGCATAGGATGCCAGGATGATGATGAGGGAGCTGGAGAGGTTGACGCCAGCTGATATGAGCATGGCGTGCTCTTTGACATAAGTATCAGAGCAAGAAAGCTTAATGAGTGGTGGGTCAGCACAGTAGAAGTGGTTGATGACATTGGACCTACAGAAGGTCAAGCGGAAGGTCAGGATGGCCTGGAGCAGGCCATCTGAGAAGCCATAGATGTAAGGAAACGTGGCCAAGCAGATGCAGACCCGCCGGGACATTTTCACACTGTAGCGCAGAGGGTTGCATATGGCCACGTAGCGGTCATAGGCCATTGCCGCCAGCATGTAAAACTCGGTGAGGAGAAGTGCAATGAAAATGTAACACTGTGTAAAGCAGCCGGCAAAGGTGATGGTCTTCCTCTTTGCTAAGAAATTAGTCAACATCTGAGGGGTTGCGTTGGAGGCATAGCACAAGTCTACAAAGGCTAAATGAGTGAGGAAGAAGTACATGGGGGTGTGAAGGCGAGAGTCCAGCCTGATGAGCACCACCATGCCCAGGTTCCCGAAGAGGGTGACAAGGTACACAAGGAGGAACAGCGCGAAGAGGAGAGGCTGGAGTTCGGGGCGACCTGTGAGCCCCAGGAGAATGAATTCTGTTACGGCACTGGCATTTCTGACGGACATTTTCTGAGAGTCTGTCCTGTACTTGAAACAGAAGGAAATGGAGCAGACATGGAGGTACAGCTCATAGTACTGGGAAATGATTTTTCTCAAAACTTCTGTATGTCATTTAAAATGGGCACTACCATAAACTGACTTTGTACTTTCAGTGAGCCATTATTTTATTTGTCTTTATACTGAATTATCTTATGTAGTTGAACTTGAACAACAAGGGTTTGTCTGTGTGAATCTACTTACAGGCAGATGTTTTTCGATAAATGTATTGGAAAAATTTTTAGAGGCTTGCAATAATCTGAAAAAACATTTTATTTTCTCTGGTTTACTTTCTTGTAAGAACATAGTATATAATACATATTACATGTAAAATATGTAAAAATCAACTATTTTTGTTATCTGCAAGGCTCTGGTCAACAGTAGGTTATTAGTAGTTAAATGTTTAGCAAGTCATAGTCTTACACAGGTTTTCAACTGGGTTGCACATCAGCACACTAACCCTGTGTTGCTCAAGGGTCGGCTGAATGTCTATCTCTATACCTACAGTTATACCTAAGCTATATGCCTATAGATAACTAAATATACAGCTCTTCCTATATCCATAATTACAGTGATGCTATATATCTCCTGTCTCCCTGCACTATTTATTTTTACCTCTCAAAGTCTACTTATCTTATCAGGCCCTTTTTAAAGGCGTATCCTTTGAGAAACATTTCTAACTTCACTCCCATCATACATGGGATTGAATATAACCATTTGTGCTTTCTGCTTCCAGTGCATCCTACATACCTCTAATTTACTCTTTAGCACCATACATCACCATGATGTATCTACTACTAATTCCTCCCATATTATTTCTTCAGAGGCAGGGACAAAGTCCAGTTATTGTTGCACTGTGACTTTTAAGCACATGCTTGTATACTTAATTTAGAAAAGAAAAGAAAAATAGAGTGTAAGCACGAAAGAATGAATGAATTGCAATGTTTCACTCATTTCTGAATCCCCACAGAGCTTTGCATGATGTCAGACACTTGGGAGAATTAAGTGTCTGAACTTTAGTGTACAAACCAATTACCAAGGAAGTTTGTTAATCAAGGAAATTCACAGGAAGTTTGTTACTAATAGTTTTTTTTTATTGTTTGTAGGCTTAATTTATACAGGTCAGCAAGGAAGGGGTGGTACTAATAGTTTTATGTGGCATATGGGGATCTTCACATGTAACAATTATTCAGAAGATTCTAACACAGGTGTGACAAGAAACCCAATTTTAAGAAGGCACAGTCACAGTGTTCCCATAAACGTAAGGCAAATAAATGAAATAACAAGTGTTGGAGAGGATGTGGAAGAAAGGGAAACCAAGTGCACTATTGGTGGGAATATAAATTTGGGTAGCCAGTATGGGAATCAATATGGAGATTCCTCAAAAAATTAGATTTGAAATAGCATACAACCCAGTAATTCCACCTTTGTGCATTTACCTTAAGACAACAGAACCACTAATTTGAAATTATTCATGTAGCCCTATGTTTATTGCAGCATTGTTTACAATAGCCAAGATATGGACACAACCTAAGTGTTTATAGGTAGGTGCATGGATAATGAAGAAGTGATACACACATACAATGGGACACTACTCAGCCATGAAAAAGACTGAAATCTTGTATTTGTGACAATATGGGTGGACTTAGAGAGTATAATGCTAAGTGAAACTAGTCAGACAGAGAGAGACAAATACTGTATGTTTTCACTTATATGTGGAATAGAGAGAACAAAACAAATGAAAACAAACAGAAAAAGACCCATAAATACAGAGAACCAACTGGTGTGTGCTAGAGCTGAAGGGGTGGAGAACAAGCAAAATAGGTAAAGAGAACAAAGAGGTACAAACTTCCAATTCTAAAATGAATAAGTCACAGGGAAGAAAAGTAGAGCATAGAGAATATAGTCAATAATACTGTCATCACTTTGTATAGTAACAGATGGTAACTACATTCCTTATGGTGAACATTTCCTATTGTATAGAAATGTCAAACCACTATGATATACACCAGAAACTAATATAATAGTGTATATCAACTACACTTCAATAAGAAAATTTTTAAATAACTGGCCCAGAAAAAAATTAAAGAAAAAATGAACAAAGAATTATCAAATCATATAAATGTTCATTCAGTAATTTGAGGAGTGTCTATAGCACTGACACAATGTATGCATAAAAAAAAGAATTGTTCTGCATAGTCAGTACTTAATTTAGGAATCACTTGTTCTATGCAGATATACCACTCTATAGATTCCATTACTCCTTCATGTCACATGTGTTGAATCTCTTCTTCCTTTCTCTCAAATGTTTTTATTTCTTGCCCCTTTTATTATAATTACATTTTTGAAAAACCTGCCCAGTGCTTCTCAGATCTCAAAATGAGTCACTAAGCCATACTTTAGGATAATTACAGAAAGGCAAACTCACTTATCTCTATTAGTAAGTACTTAATGAACATTGCTGAATACACTAATAATAGGTATTGACAACATATAATAATTCTTAACTCCGAGTCACTTCATTTCCCCTTTGCAACTGGTACAAGTAATATCTGTTCTGTCTCCCCCTCAAGTTGCTGTGGACATGAAACAAGATACTCATCAAACAAATACTTATCATCTTCTGTGATTAGGCACTGTCGGTGCAAAAATTGACAAAACCATCAAAAACCACACCATTACTGGCATCCACAGTTTAGTGGACAAACTGCAGGTAAGGGAATGGTGTTGCAACTGTCAGTAGCATGGAGAAAATACAGAAAGTGGACTTTGGTGGAAAAGGTGCTCAAACTCAAAAGAGTAACAAAGATGAAGAATTTATGAAAGGGTAACTTTTTAAAAGCAACAAACTGAAGAGGAAGAAAAAAGCCAATAAGGCTATTTTAAGAGGGTATTCTGGGAAGATTAAAGAACAATGCAGAGATATCTTTCTTTGGAATCCTAGTAATGTGAACATGTGCAGAGCTCATGCACAGAGGTGCAGAAGGTCTCAGCTGAGAACTTCCCTAAAACTCAAATGTTTCACATCTTTGAAAGTCTGATTCATTTCCATCTATCTTTTTCACATCAACAATAACAATGACCCTCAATAAGAAACAGTGGTTGGCTGTTAGTGGCAGCTTCTCTTCAAGAAAGGTCTATCACGGAACACTTTGAAAAAAGTTTACTTACTTATATTACCTTCTCATATAAGTTTGCATCAAGAACACCCCAGAAAGGGAATAGATAGTGGTTACTGGCACAGAGGAAAATGGAAAGAAAAAGATCAGGCTGTGGGAATTTCAGATGTATAGACACAGCAGGAATCTGGACTCGAGGGTCCCACTGGCAGAAGGCCTCCTCGCTTCCATGCCACTGAGTGACGGCCTGGGTATTCTAGAACGGTCTGGACTCACAGCTCAGTGATTTGTGGGGTCCGGAAATATGCAACTGAGGAAGAGCAGACATACTGATAGGTGGAGAGAGGAGAAAAAGACTGAACAGTATGTGTTCACAGAGAAGGAAAATCACAGCTTTGTGCAGCTGTGTCAGGCCACAGTGAAGAGTGAACATCTGCTCAACAAGGCACTTGTGGGTTTGCTAGTGCACAGCAGAGACAGCCCCCACCTGATGGAGAAAGAGCCCGCAAAGGAGTGGCTCAAGGACGGTAGGAAGCTGAAATGTTGGCCAGGGAGACAAAACCTGTTAGCAGGCAACTTAGTTTGGATCCAAGCCTTTCTACTGAAATAGGAAGGATTGCATTTATGTATATTGAACTAATGGGGCAAATTTGTGGCCTCCGTTTGAAACTTCAACACAATCTCTTCTTGACTAAAAGGAAATTAAACAACACAAAAATTTAAATCTACCTCTGATTTGCATCTCTTTTCTCACCTTTCATCAAAGAAGTTCATGGGCACCTCTCTCAGATGTAAAATGTCCTGGCATTTATACCAGCAAATG